ATGTCGCACACATTCTTTCCACCCCGGAAAACGTTCATGAATATCATAGCAAAAATAACACGTTTTCCTCTAGCACCTTTCAGGTCACATTTACAGTTTTATTAATATTGAAAGAGTTTCCTCGATTGTTATAAAAGTGTAACTAAAATATTATTATTGAACGACACGAGAAGTGGTCTTAGATATTTATAAAAAAAATATATTCTTCTCAAAGAATCCAATTATTAAAGAAATGCTATCATCTATATAGTTGAACCGTTTTCGAGTTAACTACATTTCCAATTCTCCTTGGGAATCATCAAATTGATTGTTACAAAACTACGTCGGGTTCATAACGAGCTTATAAATCTGTATTCTGCCCCATCGTTTATCCCATATTGAAGTTAAAATTGCATAATACCAGTGCGGCGGACGTTTATAATTCCACCTCAACCGATCCTTCCGATTCGGTAATTTCACATCAATGCAACACAATAAGCTTTAACAGAATTTGCACACGGTAGACTTCGTTTCCTACAGAACTAGCTAGCAACGGTCAGTCCGGAATATGAAACTAATGCACTGTACCGCAATACAAATTCCGGCAAACGGTGTAATCAAAGTTTAATAAATTTGTTAATTAAAATTCGCCATCGGTATTGTGTATTCCGATTTCAGTGGACATTCAAACAGTTTTTAATTCCCTTTTAGTTTTCCAGTTGCAAAGGCATTCATTGAACGCCTCCAATATTGCCTAGGTACAGCCCATTCCACAATGGAAATACCTTAAAAGGATTGATTAAAATTACAAATTTAACTGATTCATGTTACAAACATTTTAATGGAATTTTTCATCGTTTCCAATTCCTTCTAAAACTACTAAATTTGTAATTAATACGTTTGTTTATTTTTCAAAATCTCAATAATTGTTTGCAAAAAAAAAAGCACATTAAATGAGGATTTATACTGTACACAAGATCAAACGTAAATGGAATCCATCAGGTGATTGAGATTTCGATGCGCAACTAAAAAAGAACTAGTACTTTTAGATACCCGAATAATGCAGTTTACAAAAAGGATGCGTATGAATAGGATCATCCGGTGAAATACGTTGGGCAAATGAAGTGCTCTTCACAGTGAAACGGATCATTCAAGGAGGGACGTAACGTAATAGGCAAAGCATCAAACTGTGCACAGAAACATTTTATAAATTGAAAAAAACCGGTAAATTTATAATTTTATTTGAAACATTCAGTCTTAATGATAAAAGTTTATAGCAAATATCAATAGAAAATAATTAATCAGTTTTGTCAAATAACAGAACAAAGCAGAAGAGATAATCACTCCGAGGTGATTCGAATGCAAAATGATTTCGATTGTGGCCAGGTTTTCATTATTCGCGAAACAAAAGCGACAATCGTCGATGGCGCTGCGCATTGTTCGTATCGAACAACTATTAACTACTTTTTATTGTTACTTTCAGATATACCAGATGCTTTGTCCTACATCTGTATTCTTGTTCTTGATGTTCATTGCGCAATGCTGAACCGGATGTCGCGGACCATCTTTTAAACAAACTCTTATTTATTCAGGCCTTTTGTTTCCGGACGTGAGGCAGTCCCTTCGAGATGAACTCTTCCGGTCTATTTGACTTTCGTGTTCGAGGGACTCGCATAAATAAATTAGTGTGGCTAATTGAGCCAATTGAGCGCTGTTTAAATTACCATTAGACGTGTTTGCACGGTGGATTTCCTTCCGGTGTTACGAATCCGGAAGTTCCCTTTTCAAAGTGTCGCGCTTTTGTAATAGATTTGTACGGATTTCATTTTTTTTTCTCTCTTCTTGGTATGACCGATCGATGGAAGGGTATGCACAGATTGTCCAAGGGCGAAGACAATGGATGGAGATTAACTCCTTTATAATGAAGGGGTCGGAAGGGTAAACATCGTTCCGAGTTTAATGCAAGACCGCTATTTCTCTTCATTCTCTTTTTTTTATGTAGTTTCTGCTGGTAACAGGTATAACCTCCGTGAAAGCGGTCCTCTGAAATATTCATAAAACTCGAGTGAGCCTTTGCACCTTCTTAAGCATAGGATTCGAATTTTTAAATCCCTTCCGACCTCCTCCTTTCGTTTTTATAAATCATCAGACAGTGCCTTTGCAACTCAGGATCGCAGAAATTTTTCCCGCTATTTTAGGAGATGCCTCTCATACTAAATGATATCTAGATCTTCCTTCTTCCAAAATATTGCGAATGGAAACCTATATTAATTATCATCGCCGTGCCAGGTGCATCTACTTGTAATATACTCTACAGCTACCACATCCGACCGGCAAGGATCATCAATCCGCTACACGCTTCAAGTTAAGTTACTACATTTGAAATATGGGTTCCTGAGTGGACTGGTGGGGATGGCTGGGTGATTCTGACTTACTTTCGAAGGATCAGGTGTTGAGGTGATGAACACGGAGGTCCTTCTGCCTATCAAGGAACGGCATCCGATGGAGCTGCTCCTCCGTCCCGTCATATTCCTCATATGGATAACACGCTGTTTTGCATTGCACGAATCATGCAGTTCTCCCCTAAGTCACCACCGCCGCCGCCCTCGACATTCCGGCGCTGCACCCCCAAGCCGCGCACGCCCTGTCCATCGATTATGTCATCAACACGTGCTCCCCAAGACATTTGGTGACAATCCCTTCGTTGTTTATATATTTATAGTTTTCATACGTTATTCCAAAAAAATGAATTATTTTGAGTGAGACACACAACAAGAGCTTTAATCTCTCTACAAAATAATATAAAATACCCAATATTATTGTTTTATAACAAACTTAAATGAACATTATTCAATAATGCAAATAAATAGCGTAATAATATTTTAACTTTACCTAATATTTCTGTTAAAAACTTTTTACGTACTTAAAATCATTGATGTTTTATACTGAAGCACTTGAGGAAAATACATTTTATACTTTGTCCTTATGTGTTTGCAGAATAAATACAGTCGGTATCGCCAGAAATCCATATTTGTTGAAAACGTATTTTCTTTCAGCAAACTTATTTTAAGCTACACCAAGAACGGTAACACTCCTATTTAAAAAAAAAAACAATACTGATTGTGGAAGTTTTTCTTGATATTGAATGTACGTGCAATTTACAATATAAATTCTGGTTTTAAAAATTGCTAATTAAAAAAAAACAAATCAAAATTATTAAAAAGGAAACCACAAACAATAATGAACAAAATTATATGATCTTTCACATCTAATTGAAATGCGTTGAGATTGTTTTGTGGAATATTTTTATTTATGTAGTTATTACGACTAACATGTTTACCTTTCATACACTGCATTTGCATGGAAATAATTAATTAAAAACGAGTTTTATTAGTAATGAATAAATCACTAGTCTGTAGTTCCATAAGTGAGTGTAATAGATAAAAAATAGAAACTTTTCCAAATTATATTATTTATAAAAATAAATTCAATTCATCTGTATAAAATACAAAGAAATAATTTACAAGATGAGTATGGTTTTTCTAGAATTAATTTCCATCGATCGTTAAATAAGCAGTTAAACGCGGCTGTAATGCATTTATAAAGTTGGGATAAATTGTCCCGGTAAGTTTCTTGAATTGCATCCAATTATATAAATAGTGCCAGAAAGACTTGGACTACAGCTTATTACTGAACAGTTACTTTTAGAATAATGCGAAACTTCGGGATGACTCCAAATCCCTGAAGAACTGAAATGTTTCATTTAATCATAAGAAATGCTATCAACTAATTATATTAATGTTTTATTCTTATGACTACCACTTTATAA